GGCTGCATGCTGGGATGAATGCTGGGCTGCATGCTGGGATGAATGCAGGGATGAATGCTGTGATGAATGCTGGGATGAATGCTGGGCTGCATGCTGGGATGAATGCTGGGATGAATGCAGGGATGAATGCTGGGCTGCATGCTGGGATGAATGCAGGGATGAATGCTGGGATGAATGCTGTGATGAATGCAGGGATGAATGCTGGGATGAATGCTGGGATGAATGCAGGGATGAATGCTGGGATGAATGCTGGGATGAATGCAGGGATGAATGCTGGGATGAATGCTGTGATGAATGCAGGGATGAATGCAGGGATGAATGCTGGGATGAATGCAGGGATGAATGCTGGGATGAATGCAGGGATGAATGCTGTGATGAATGCAGGGATGAATGCTGGGATGAATGCTGGGATGAATGCAGGGATGAATGCTGGGATGAATGCTGGGATGAATGCAGGGATGAATGCTGGGATGAATGCTGTGATGAATGCAGGGATGAATGCTGGGATGAATGCTGGGATGAATGCAGGGATGAATGCTGGGATGTATGCTGTGATGAATGCAGGGATGAATGCTGGGATGAATGCTGGGATGAATGCTGGGATGAATGCAGGGATGAATGCAGGGATGAATACTGGGCTGCATGCTGGGATGAATGCAGGGATGAATGCTGGGATGTATGCTGTGATGAATGCAGGGATGAATGCAGGGATGAATGCTGGGCTGCATGCTGGGATGAATGCAGGGATGAATGCTGGGATGTATGCTGTGATGAATGCAGGGATGAATGCAGGGATGAATGCTGGGCTGCATGCTGGGATGAATGCAGGGATGAATGCTGGGATGTATGCTGTGATGAATGCAGGGATGAATGCTGGGATGAATGCTGGGAGGTATGCTGTGATGAATGCTGGGATGAATGCTGGGCTGCATGCTGGGATGAATGCTGGGCTGCATGCTGGGATGAATGCAGGGATGAATGCTGTGATGAATGCTGGGATGAATGCTGGGCTGCATGCTGGGATGAATGCTGGGATGAATGCAGGGATGAATGCTGGGCTGCATGCTGGGCTGCATGCTGGGATGAATGCTGGGATGAATGCTGGGCTGCATGCTGGGATGAATGCTGGGATGAATGCTGTGATGAATGCAGGGATGAATGCTGGGATGAATGCTGGGATGAATGCAGGGATGAATGCTGGGATGTATGCTGTGATGAATGCAGGGATGAATGCTGGGATGAATGCTGGGATGAATGCTGGGATGAATGCAGGGATGAATGCAGGGATGAATACTGGGCTGCATGCTGGGATGAATGCAGGGATGAATGCTGGGATGTATGCTGTGATGAATGCAGGGATGAATGCTAGGCTGCATGCTGGGATGAATGCAGGGATGAATGCTGGGATGTATGCTGTGATGAATGCAGGGATGAATGCTGGGATGAATGCTGGGAGGTATGCTGTGATGAATGCTGGGATGAATGCTGGGCTGCATGCTGGGATGAATGCTGGGCTGCATGCTGGGATGAATGCAGGGATGAATGCTGTGATGAATGCTGGGATGAATGCTGGGATGAATGCTGGTATGAATGCTGGGCTGCATGCTGGGATGAATGCTGGGATGAATGCAGGGATGAATGCAGGGATGAATGCAGGGATGAATGCTGGGATGAATGCTGGGATGAATGCTGGGATGAATGCAGGGATGAATGCTGGGATGAATGCTGGGATGAATGCTGGGCTGCATGCTGGGATGAATGCTGGGATGAATGCTGGGCTGCATGCTGGGATGAATGCTGGGCTGCATGCTGGGATGAATGCAGGGATGAATGCTGGGATGAATGCTGGGATGAATGCTGGGATGAATGCTGGGATGAATGCAGGGATGAATGCAGGGATGAATGCTGGTATGAATGCTGGGCTGCATGCTGGGATGAATGCTGGGATGAATGCTGGGCTGCATGCTGGGATGAATGCAGGGATGAATGCTGTGATGAATGCTGGGATGAATGCTGGGCTGCATGCTGGGATGAATGCTGGGATGAATGCAGGGATGAATGCTGGGCTGCATGCTGGGATGAATGCAGGGATGAATGCTGGGATGAATGCTGTGATGAATGCAGGGATGAATGCTGGGATGAATGCTGGGATGAATGCAGGGATGAATGCTGGGATGAATGCTGGGATGAATGCAGGGATGAATGCTGTGATGAATGCAGGGATGAATGCAGGGATGAATGCTGGGATGAATGCAGGGATGAATGCTGGGATGAATGCAGGGATGAATGCTGTGATGAATGCAGGGATGAATGCTGGGATGAATGCTGGGATGAATGCAGGGATGAATGCTGGGATGAATGCTGGGATGAATGCAGGGATGAATGCTGGGATGAATGCTGTGATGAATGCAGGGATGAATGCTGGGATGAATGCTGGGATGAATGCAGGGATGAATGCTGGGATGTATGCTGTGATGAATGCAGGGATGAATGCTGGGATGAATGCTGGGATGAATGCTGGGATGAATGCAGGGATGAATGCAGGGATGAATACTGGGCTGCATGCTGGGATGAATGCAGGGATGAATGCTGGGATGTATGCTGTGATGAATGCAGGGATGAATGCAGGGATGAATGCTGGGCTGCATGCTGGGATGAATGCAGGGATGAATGCTGGGATGTATGCTGTGATGAATGCAGGGATGAATGCAGGGATGAATGCTGGGCTGCATGCTGGGATGAATGCAGGGATGAATGCTGGGATGTATGCTGTGATGAATGCAGGGATGAATGCTGGGATGAATGCTGGGAGGTATGCTGTGATGAATGCTGGGATGAATGCTGGGCTGCATGCTGGGATGAATGCTGGGCTGCATGCTGGGATGAATGCAGGGATGAATGCTGTGATGAATGCTGGGATGAATGCTGGGCTGCATGCTGGGATGAATGCTGGGATGAATGCAGGGATGAATGCTGGGCTGCATGCTGGGCTGCATGCTGGGATGAATGCTGGGATGAATGCTGGGCTGCATGCTGGGATGAATGCTGGGATGAATGCTGTGATGAATGCAGGGATGAATGCTGGGATGAATGCTGGGATGAATGCAGGGATGAATGCTGGGATGTATGCTGTGATGAATGCAGGGATGAATGCTGGGATGAATGCTGGGATGAATGCAGGGATGAATGCAGGGATGAATACTGGGCTGCATGCTGGGATGAATGCAGGGATGAATGCTGGGATGTATGCTGTGATGAATGCAGGGATGAATGCAGGGATGAATGCTAGGCTGCATGCTGGGATGAATGCAGGGATGAATGCTGGGATGTATGCTGTGATGAATGCAGGGATGAATGCTGGGATGAATGCTGGGAGGTATGCTGTGATGAATGCTGGGATGAATGCTGGGCTGCATGCTGGGATGAATGCTGGGCTGCATGCTGGGATGAATGCAGGGATGAATGCTGTGATGAATGCTGGGATGAATGCTGGGATGAATGCTGGTATGAATGCTGGGCTGCATGCTGGGATGAATGCTGGGATGAATGCAGGGATGAATGCAGGGATGAATGCAGGGATGAATGCTGGGATGAATGCTGGGATGAATGCTGGGATGAATGCAGGGATGAATGCTGGGATGAATGCTGGGATGAATGCTGGGCTGCATGCTGGGATGAATGCTGGGATGAATGCTGGGCTGCATGCTGGGATGAATGCTGGGCTGCATGCTGGGATGAATGCAGGGATGAATGCTGGGATGAATGCTGGGATGAATGCTGGGATGAATGCAGGGATGAATGCTGGGATGAATGCAGGGATGAATGCTGGGATGAATGCTGGGATGAATTCTGGGCTGCATGCTGGGATGAATGCTGGGATGAATGCTGGGCTGCATGCTGGGATTAATGACGTAGTGAATGTTGGGATGAATGCTGGGATGCATTCTTGAATTCATGCTTACTGCTCATGCTGTTCTTTTTATGAAGAGAGGATGGATTAAGTGATGAGCAGAAGGTCATCATCGCAGCCTCTTCTGCTGCTGCTGCTGGGCCTTCTTGGTGAGGGAGGAGGTGTTCAGCTCCCACTGGAGGTCCTGATTATGATGATGCCCAGGAGGAGGAAGGAGTCCAGGACAGGCAGGCAGGAAGGGGGCGGGTGGGGAACTTCAGCACCATATCCATTGTTTTCAGAGCGCTGAGCTTCAGAACGCTGTAGCTGCAGGTCACCAGATGATCAATCTACCACCTATAGGTCATCATCACACCTAATAGCTCCACCTCTGGGATGTGAGGACAGCTGAGGGTGATGGATCTGAGCTCAGTCAGTCTTCTGGTCCTGGTTTTCAGGGATGATGACGGAGTGATCCCAGCCTATTGCTGTTGAGCTTTGAAGTGACTCCAGATCCTTGGCTCAAGATGTTTGGCTGATTTTACACAATAAAAGCTTTTATTCCATAAACACAGTGCTTTAAACAGGGTTATAAACATCTTTGATCCTGGACGTCCAGCTGTTTCCTCACTGCATGCAGCCTCACTGAAATCTCTAGATAACAGTTCAGACCAGAACCTGCAGAACATCACCAGTCTGGGGGCCCAGGGCCCCTTTACCTGCGGTGGGTCAGAGACACAGGTTTGACTCTGAGGGGAAAAGGCAAGGCAGCACTGAGAAGCAGCTTCATGGCTTCTGTCCCTTCAGCAGCTGGTAAATCCTGCAGTTGTTAGAAATCTTAGCGGTTCTGCAGGCGTCGCTCATTTCATTGCCTGGTGTCTTCTAGACGGCTGATCCTGCAGCTAGCTTTCTTAGTGACACTTCCAGCCTCATCAAAGATGCTTTGAATCCCATAATGAGTGATTTTTTTTTCTTTCCTTCAATAAATGGTTGATGGCGCTGCCATGTTGGAGCTGCTGCTAAGATTTTGCATGAAACTTGAATAAATTGGATCATTCATGTTTTTATTTCTGTTCACAGGTTATAAATAATTCAGTAAATCTACAGGAGCTTCTTTTTTAACATGAACAAGTTCACTTTATTTTTTCATTATGTAAAAATGACATGAGGTAAAACATTAAGCATCCAGAAATGATCATTGCAAAAAAAAATGAAATAAACTCTGTCACCATTTCTAAATACTTCATACTATTATGAACATACTTAACACTTGTGTGTACAGGTTATACTGGAGGAGAAGAAAAGACAACAAAGAATCCATGATGGAAATAATTACAACTCCATGTTTTCTCATGTTCAACATATTCAAGACTAAATATTCTCAGAAAACGAAAAAAATAAAGATTAGCAATACACAACTCCCATTTTATTATAATAATATATCGACGCTGAGAAGAAAAAATACTTTAAAGTCAAAAACAGTTCTGGTTGCAACAAACAGATTGAATGATGATATTTATACGTTATAATAAGATAAAGTCTGGCTCTCAGCTCCACTCTGTCACTTTGAGGTATTTATCGTTCACCTCTCACACCGGCTGGACATTTGCATTTTAATGCAGCTGAGAATAATATTCAATGGGATTAAAGATAAAAGAACCACTGCAATAAAATAGAGACATTTCAATAACAGTTAAAAACACAAACTTATATAATTTAGACAAAAATATTGAAAAAGTTCAGTTAAAATAAAAGAGAGAAACAACCAGAACTAAGTGGGTAAAATCAGTGCTTAGCAGGATCATCTGTTGTGCATCAGTTAAAGTTTCTGGTAGGAAAGAAAAAAAGGTGCGCACACACTCAAACACACACACCCCAAAACCAAACATTAGTTTTCAAATCCAGTCCTCTTTAAAAACGCAGCAGGAAGGGCAGAAATGCCATGAGGAGGAGACAGGTGTGAAAATGGACGACCTTGGCGCCTCCGCTGCCGTCCTGGACTGCCCTCGGTCCTGATGGGAGGAGAAGAAAACAGGCAGTCACTGATTCTGCTGGGTGACCTCCTGATCTGGTTACTGAATCTAATCCTGATCCGGTTCCTGATTCTAATCCTGATCATGATCCGGTTTCCGGAATATAATCCTGATCCTGATCTGGTTCCTGATCCTGATCTTGTTCCTGATCTGGTTCCTGAATCTAATTCTGATCCGGTTCCTGATTCTAATCCTGATCATGATCCTGTTCCTGAATCTAATCCCGATCCTGATCTGGTTCCTGAATCTAATCCTGATCCTGATCCGGTTCCTGAATCTAATCCTGATCCGGTTCCTGAATCTAATCCTGATCCTGTTCCTGAATCTAATCCTGATCCGGTTCCTGAATCTAATCCTGATCCGGTTCCTGAATCTAATCCTGATCCTGATCTGGTACCTGAATCTAATCCTGATCCTGAGCCGGTTCCTGATCCTGATCCTGTTCCTGATGTGGTTCCTGAACCTAAACCTGATCGTGATCCGGTTCCTGATTCTGATCCTGATCCAGTTCCTGAATCTAATCCTGATCCTGATCCAGTACCTGAATCTTATCCTGATCCTGAGCCGGGTTCTGATCCCGATCCTGTTCCTGAATCTAAACCTGATCCTGATCCGGTTCCTGATCCTGATCCAGTTCCTGAATCTAATCCTGATCCTGATCCAGTTCCTGATTCTAATCCTGATCCTGATCTCTGCTTACTGTCTTTACTGTAAAATCCTCCTGTTTGGATTAACTGAGTGTGCAACTGAGTGTGCAGCTGTTCACATAGCACATAGCACCTTCTGCTGCACTTTTCTACTGAGCACTTGTCAGTTTCACACGGTTTTATTTCTGATAGCAAGAAGTAGCTAGCCTAGGCTAGCGCTAGCTTAGCATTGCTATGGCTTCTCTCTCTCCCTCCCTTGACTCTTTTCCAACTCTTCCTTCTTCCTCTCCTCTCTCCTGCTCTCTGTGTCAGATGTTCAGTTATTCCTCTGCCTCCTTTAGTGATAATGGGATGTGTAATAAGTGTAGTATTTTTGTAGCTTTGGAGGCGAGGGTGTCAGAGTTAGAATCCAGGCTTCAGGCTGTTGAAGTAGGCCCCCCACGTAGCTGTCCTCCAAAAGTGCCTGAGCAGCCAGGCGATTGGGTAACTGTACGCAGAAAGCGTAGTCGTGGATCTCTGCCCACTGGTCACCACCAACCCGTTCACGTTTCTAACCGGTTTTCCCCACTCAGTGACACACCCACTGAGAAGCCCACTCTGGTGATTGGCAGCTCCATAGTCAGAAACGTGGCATTAGAGACACCAGGGACCATAGTCAAATGTTTGCCGGGGGCCAGAACGGGCGACATCAAATCCTACCTGAAACTACTGGCTAAGGATAAGGTTAAATACAGTAAGATTGTTATTCACGCTGGTGGTAATGACACCCGGTTACGCCGATCGGAGGTCACTAAAATTAGTGTTGCTTCGGTGTGTAAGTTTGCCAAAAAAATGTCGGACTCCGTAATTTTCTCTGGTCCCCTCCCTGATCTGACCAGTGATGACATGTTTAGCCGCATGTCGTCATTCAACCGCTGGTTGTCTAGGTGGTGTCCTGAAAACAACATGGGCTACATTAATAATTGGCAATCCTTTTGGGGAAAGCCTGGTCTGATTCAGAGAGACGGCATCCATCCCACTTTGGATGGTGCAGCTGTTCTTTCTAGGAATCTGGCCACATTATTAGTCCTCCAAAACCCTGACCACCCAGGGTGCAGACCAGGAAGCAGAGTTGTGGTATAACACACATCAACACACATCAAAGAAGTAAATCATGATAATCAAATTAAAATTAAAATAACTAAATTGGGGGGAAAGTTAAAACGATTAAATGTGGTCTGTTTAACATAAGATCTCTTTCCTCTAAAGTCTTCTGGTTAATGACTTGATTTGTGATAATCACATTGACTTGTTTTGCCTTACAGAAACCTGGCTGCAGCAAGAGGTTTATGTGAGCATAAATGAGGCAACTCCTTCAAGCTATTTAAATTTTCACATCCCCAGAAGTTCTGGGCGAGGAGGAGGAGTAGCAACAATCTTCCAGTCTGACTTACTGATTACTCCCAAAACAGTTAATACCTACAACTCTTTTGAACATTTTACCCTTAATTTCCCTGATCCAGATTTCAAGGCAACAAAACCTCTTCTTTTTGTAACTTTGTATCGTCCACCAGGTCCTTACTCTGAATGTTTAGATGAGTTTTCAGAGTTCCTTTCTGATTTGGTATTAAATACTGACAGGGTCATCATAGTGGGAGATTTTAACATCCATGCTGACATTGAAGGCGATAGCTTAAGAGCAGCCTTTAATGCTATCTTAGACACTATTGGCTTTGTTCAAAATGTGAATAGCCCCACACATTCTCATCTTCATACTTTGGATCTTGTGCTGACATACGGCATAGAATGTGAAGAAATAACAGTATTTCTTCATACAGAGTTCTCCTCCCCCAAAAGACAGTTCAGTTTTAGCGATTATTATCAGATAGTTCAACATCATTGACTCACACAGTATTATCTCACAACCCTGTCCTCTCTGACCACTTTCTAATAACCTTCAGGATTACTTTAACAGAGTTCTCCTCCCCCAAAAGAAGGTTCCATTTTAGTAGATCTTTATCAGATAGTGCAGTTATAAATTTTAAAGTATCTGCTTCACTTTCTCTCTCCTCTGTGTCGCTGAGCAGTGCTGCAGAGTGCAAAAGCTTAGCTTATTCCCCTTCACAGGTTGATGATTTTGTTGATGGGGTTGCTAGTTCTCTGCGTATTGCCTTAGACAACGCAGCTCCTTTGAAAATGAAAACCGTTAAAAATAGAAAGCTTGCTCCTTGGTTTAATGCAGAGCTGCGTACTTTGAAGCAAAATGCTAGGAAACTGGAGAGAAAATATCGCTCCACAGGCCTGCGGGAGTCCTTCCTAGTCTGGAAAAATAGTTTACTGCTGTATAAGAGGACCCTTTGTAAAGGAAGAGCAGCATACTTCTCCTCATTAATAGAGGAGAATAAGAATAATCCTAGATTTCTTTTTAATCCAGTTGCCAAACTCACCCAGAGCCATAGCTCTGTTGAACCGTCCATTCCACCTGCTCTTAGCAGGAATGATTTTATGGGATTCTTCATAAATAAGATTGATCTTATTAAAAATAAGATCATTAGCACTCCTCTATCCACAATTGGTTTGTCCCTAGAGGGTGGGGCAGCATCTGTGGTAATCATAGAATCTTAACCGGGTTTAGACTGCTTTGATCCAGTTGAACTTTCAGAGTTAGCAAAACTATTGTCTTCATCTAAGCCTTCAACTTGTATGTTAGATCCAGTTCCAACCAGGTTATTTAAGGAGGTATTCCCTTTGATATCCTCCTCCATTTTAGATGTGATTAATCTATCTCTGTTACAGGGATATGTACCAAAGGCTTTTAAGGTTGCTGGAATTAAACCTCTGCTTAAGAAACCGTCTCTTGACCCAGATGACTTGGTCAATTATAGACCTATATCCAATCTTCCTTTCTTATCCAAAATTCTTGAGAAAGTAGTTGCCAAACAAGTTTGCGATCACTTCCACCATAATGAACTTTTTGAAGAGTTTCAGTCTGGCTTTAGAGCTCATCATAGCACTGAAACAGCTCTGGGGAAAGTCACTAATGATATTCTCATGGCCTCAGATAATGGACTTGTATCTGTGCTCGTCCTGTTGGATCTTAGTGCTGCATTTGATACAGTTGACCATAATATTCTTTTAGAAAGACTTGAATATTTTGTTGGAATTAAAGGAACAGCACTAGACTGGTTTAAATCTTATCTATCTGATCGAATTCAGTTTGTTCATGTTAATGATAGATCTTCAACACGCTCAAAGGTTACCTGTGGAGTACCACAGGGATCAGTGCTAGGACCAATTCTCTTTACTTTATACATGCTCCCAATTGGTAGAATTATTAGACAGCATGGGATTAATTTCCACTGTTATGCTGATGATACCCAGCTATATCTGTCTATAAATCCAGATGAAGCTAACCCATTACATAGATTACAGGCATGTCTTGAAGACATAAAAACCTGGATGACTCTTAATTTTCTGCTTCTGAATGCAGACAAAACAGAAGTTATAGTCTTTGGACCAGAGTCTCTGAAAAAGAAGCTGATTAGCCAGTCACTTCATTTGGATGGGATTAAACTGATTTCAGATAATAAAGTAAAAAATCTTGGTGTTATTTTTGATCAGGACCTGTCATTTAAATCCCATATCAAAGAGGGTTCTAGAATTTCCTTCTTTCATCTGAGGAACATTGCAAAAATTAGAAATCTCCTGTCCAGGGGTGATGCTGAGAAACTAGTCCATGCATTTCTTACTTCAAGGCTGGACTATTGTAATTCTTTACTATCAGGAAGTCCACAAACTGTAGTTAAAAGCCTTCAGCTGATCCAAAATGCTGCAGCCAGAGTTCTAATGAAAATGAAAAAGAGAGATCATATCTCTCCTATCCTGGCTTCTCTTCATTGGCTTCCTGTTAAATGCAGAATAGAATTTAAAATCCTCCTTCTCACATATAAAGCCTTAAATGGCCAAGCTCCATCTGATATCAGAGATCTGATTGTTCCTTATGTTCCTAACAGAGCACTTCGCTCTCAATCTGCAGGTTTACTAGTGGTTCCTAGAATTTCTAAAAGTAGAATGGGAGGCAGATATTTTAGTTCTCAGGCTCCTCTCCTGTGGAACCAACTACCAGTTTTAGTCCGTGAGGCAGACACCCTGTCTACTTTTAAGGCTAGGCTTAAAACTTTCATTTTTGATAAAGCTTATAGTTAGGGTGGCTCAGGTTATCCTGAGCTATCTCTATAGTTATGCTGCTATAGGCTTAGACTTTTGGAGGACATAGGGACCCCCATTTCATCATTCTGCTTCATTCTCTCTCTGTTCTCCTATTCTGCAGAATCTGTTAGTTCAATCTCTAAC